CTTTAGTATTGTTAAGACTCTGCCCTGAGCATTGTTCTATCTGTACATGAATGTAAGTACATTTAGAAGAACATAAAAGGTATGTGTACTTTACAATAAAAAGAGATGTCTTTGTTCTCAACAGTAGACTAATCTCAATTGTGTTTTCTAACAATCATATTAGTTAACAGGCTGTTTGGTCCTTAAGTTGAATTGTACAGTATGTGTCCATTATACATTTAAATTTGAATGTTCTTTTTAATTGCTCTTAAAGCTTCAGATAAGACTTTACTAATCACACTAATTTCTTTACATCTAAATTTTTCATGAAAAAAATGGCAAAAGGTTGTTTTCTTCTAACTGTTTCTCCCGATTGTAAAAGTCAGCAGCTCAGTTCAGCAGTTCAATTTACCATGCAAAACAGCACACCTTAGAAAAACAGGACTGAAGACATGATGAAGAAAACTGCTATGAAAAGTTTCTGATTGCTTCATCAACACTTCCCACATGGTGAAAGGAAAATGAAAGGTTCACTCAGAAACACTTGTACTGTACATTATGGTCTAGTCATGCGGTGTTTACATTACAGCTGACTGATAATTAAAAATGATAATCAAATCACAATCTTCTCATACTCTTGAGCGGTGACCTGTCTTGAATTTAAACTTCATAGCTACTGTATATAGAGGTCTTTACTCTCTAGTGGGGTTGGCACTCATACCCTGATTAAACCAATTTAATGAATCTAACCTACAAACCTATGTCCAGTTCAGTTATTCTTGAACACTTGTCTTCCTTTCACACTGTTCCATTTAATGACTTTTTTGCCCACTGTCAGAGAACATGTTGCATCCTACTGCTTTGAGATTTGGCAAACTAGTTTGACGTTATTAAAATCTCAACATGTAAGTGACATTAGCATGTTAGCAAAAGGATGAATTATTGTACAATGATATCACCCTCCAGAATTTGTCTGTTGTTACCTGAACATCATCCTTACACAGCCGGTTTATATTATATTGTACAACTATTCTGTAACGGTTTATTTTTACTTAACTATTAATTATCAACTTAAAATATATTGACAGAATTCTGAAGACTAAATTTAGAACACAGAGTTAGATTTTATTAAAATGTTCCCACTTATGTTTTCTATGACAAGAATAATATGATATGCCATATCATCTTACCCTTAACATAGAAATTTAACCTTATTTGCTAAATACTAAATAGAAAGTACACTTATCACATACAAAACACATTTTCCTATCGGTGCCATTTGCAGCACATTATCCAATGCTGTTTACATCTGTTTATTTCACTCATTTTAATTTCAATAATATTTCAGTTCACTCAGAGTATCTGAACATGTATAGACACATGGTCATGTTAATTAAATATCTGCCATGCATATTACATTATATTACAAAAGAAGATAAATATATTTGTAGTTTGTGGCTTGCTTCAATTCCATCTGTTATGAAACACTGGATTAAAACTAGACTAATTTACAAATAAACCTCTTTTCTGTTCTATAAGACACTAAAACTTAATGCACAGACAAAAACACACCAAACATTAAACAATGCAATTTACCATCTTATTTATCATGCAGTAAATTGTATTGTTAGATAGAGTAACATTATTTTCAGTTCTATGATTGCCAAAGGGAAATGCTGTCATAATAATTTGAGGATGACTTTTTTGTTGTCTCTATGATATTGCATTTTGCACTTGATCAGAATATCAATTGCACACACAGATGAGAATCAAAGCGACTGAAAGAGTTTTTTTATTCTTTCGCTCAGAAGTTTTCAAATACAGTGACCACAGCTGTCATGAATGAGCTATCACAAGCAGATCACATTCTTGTGTTTCTCAGAACAATACAAATGCAGAGTAAAATGTGGTTAGCTGGAAGTGGCTGAGTCCAAACAATTCTATTAATGTCTAGTCTTGTATCAGAAAGAATGTCAGAGTGTATTTAGCAGTAAAGGTATTTATTACACGGGTGGAGAAATTCACACTCCCAATCTCTTTACTGCTGTCACCTGTAATGGACAGTGGAAAACCCAAAGCAGTTTTCTGTAATTAAATATGTTAAACAAACCTGGATCTTTTTCCCACCATAATTAAATTTTCATCCCTTTCTGGGACAATATAAAGCCTGCACATTTTGGGCACAATCTACAAGCAAGCTGTATAATGCTGAAATTCAGGTATTCAAAAAATCAGAATAACAGCATGCTCTCTCTATACATATCTGGATTTGTTTTTTAATATATTTTTCTTTATTTGAGGAAATCTTTAATATCCCAAAGGTGCCTGAATATGCTGATAACTGGGAGCTGTCCTATCCTATCTGTGATGCATTGAGGAACTGTTTGCTAATGATTATGCTAGAAATATACATTATGGGGGCTGCTGGTTGAGGTGGTGTCAACATCCATCTGTACCTCTGTGGATCACATTTCATTCACTGCTTTGACCATATTCTGACCATGCAACAATTCATGAATTTCAGGCATTCAGCAGGGCAGCTGGAGAGTTGGCTGGAGATGCTGAAGGCATACAACTTAGAAATTCAACATCAGACAAGAGAAGAATATCTGAATGTCTATTCCTTTCCCCAGATTCTACAAGCTTTTATTTTTAGGGTTAAAGACAGCACACCAGAAAAGGGGCTATCTGGGTCAGCTGCAACATTACCACCATTGAATCTACCACCTCAAAGATGTAGAGGGCTTGAAGGAGTGACAAGCGAGCAGCATGCAAAGGGCAGTCCTGTTCTCCTCTTCAGCTGGTCCTAGTTGGTACCCTGGTGCAATAGGTCAGTGGTGATGATTACCCATCTTAGGGAGCATGCATTTCTTCTTGTGGCCAGGAACAGACATACTGTACCACATTGCACTGGGGCATCATTGAAAAGACTTTCCTCATGGGGAGCTGTTGTGTGGGCTTATTTTCTTAAGAGGAGCCAGGGCAGCAGCCGCAAGTTGGTTTCCACCTTCAGAACCATGCGTAGTACTGGGATCCTTGTGCTAAGGAGTCAACTGCGTACAAGCATCCCAGTTCGGCTGGGATACAAGCTCTACAAGCGGCACGTTGATCCACAGTTGGGTGACTGAGAACCTTAGTGAGAGAACAGCCATAGAGATCTTCCTCCTCCACTGAACATGGGACTTGTTCCCAGAGGACCCCCTGCCATTACTCACCCTTACTGGTTTCACTGCCAGTGACCCAGAGTTTCCAGCTGCAGGATCACCAAGGAAATATTCCCAGAAATTATCAGTGAAATTCATGTAATCATTTTTATTATTGAAACTAAGAAGAGGAAGGTGGTTCCTACTTTAAACCAGGCTTTCGGCTTTCTAGGATGCACTTCTTGACAGAAGTGTGGAACAAGTTACCTGCAGTAGCGGTACTGTTGAAGACAATTCTGTCACGTCTTTTCAGAAATGACATGATCAATACCCTTGGATCAACCAGCTTTTATTAATCAAATGAGCTACAGTATTTGTAAACATTCTATTTGGGAATGAATGTTTTGCTTGAGAATCATTCTTACTCAATGAAAACAAAGAAACAAACAGCAGCCATATAACTCTGCAACTCACAACTGGCAACCCACTGAAGCTAAGCAGGTGTGAACCTGGTCGGTACCTGGATGGAGACTTCCTGGGAAAAACTAAGGTTGCTGCTGGAAGATGTGTTAGTGGGGCCAGCAGGGGGCAATCACCCAGAGGTTCATGTGGGTCCTAATGCCCCAGTATAGTGAGGGGGATGCTATACTGTAAACAGGCGCCGTCCTTCAGATGAGACATAAAACCTAGCTCCTTACTCTCTATGATCATCAAAAATTCCAGGGAGTTTCTCGAAAAGAGTAGGGGTGTAACCCTGGCGTCCTGGCCAAAATTCTCATTGGCCCTTACCAATCATGGCCTCCTAATAATCCCCATCTATGAATTGGCTGCATTACTCTGCTCTCATCCCCACTAATAGCTGATGTGTGGTGAGCGTTCTGGTACACTATGGGTGCCCTCGCATCATCCAGGTGGACACTCCACATTGATTGTGGTGGAGGGGAGTCCCCATTACCTGTAAAGCGCTTTGAGTGGAGTGTCCAGAAAAGCACTATATAAGGGTAAGCAATTATTAATCAGCATGTTTTTCAACAGTGTATATAGTATCTGGGCGGTATATCTTTGGCAGCTCCATATTTTGAGCCATTGTATGAAAGAAAACATGACAAATTGGGTCACATGGCATGGGAAAGTGATATACAAGTGAGTTTCAAATAGTCCCTTAGCTAGTATCCACCCCCTTCTAGTTACAGTATATCCCATTTTGATCACTTTCTATGTAATTCGATTGTATCCACACTTTTGAAAGAATATTTTAAATTAAAAACTTGAATGTTAAAACCATAAATTTGGGGGGGGGGGGTGGTGAAAGAACTTTTTAAGTATTCACCCCCTGAATCAATACTCGGTGGAAACGCCTTTGGCAGCAATACGTCTTACGACAAGCAAGGTACTGTTACTTATATGGCTATGCGACTGTAGCAATGGCCCGTCTTCTATATAAATTCCCAGCTTGGTTGAGACAATTCGATCAATTATCTACTAAAACCCAAATAAGACAGAAAGGTAAAATGGCCTCCCCTTGTTTCTAAACATTTTTAAGATGTACTTGAAGTTTGTTGTTAGTATACATGTAAATACTGAGGAAAATTGTTATTATTAAAGAACGATTTCTAAATTAAGTTTCTTTCTTTTAGTGTAACTTTTGGAGCAGCTAATGAGTGGTTAACAAGTGTGGAAGTTGATATTCTTTATTGAATGGCAATATTTAAGATGAAAGAATTATATGTATTTATATTTATATAAAAAGGAATATATATAGAAAAAGCATATTTTTGTAGTCGCATAGTTGCATTAAAACAACAGATTCTTGGGGGATTTGAGTTTTACTTCAACTGATACTGTATGTTTATTGCCTTCCGATGATTTATACTAATGGCAGTCATTTTGTATTGAAGGGCTTGCTCTTTAAACAAGGAGCAAAATCACTGCCTATTAAACCCCATTAACACCTGCTATAAAGCTCAATCTGGATGGATGACGAATTCTGAAAGTACACGGCTAAAAGCCCCCAGAGTAAATTAACACTGGCGTTAAACTTCTTAGTGGTCCCGCTGGATCTGAAGCGTATTAATTTCGGTGAGCTTTAAATTAAAGTTGAATATATCCTATCGTTTTTAATACCGTCGAAAAACGTAAGAGACACATTTAGATTAAAACGCGTGCATCTCAAAGTCTAGAATCTTGCTGTCGCTGACTATCGCCAGATAGGTCCGGAGACACGCAAACGAATGTATAATTAATCGTAGAGAAGAGGGAATCCTCACACACATGGCTTTAAAAGACTTTTCTATTCAGCAACTCCGCCTCCCTGGTCTCCGGCGGCAGCAACTGCGGCTTCAGCGGCAGCACACTTGTTTTAACCATTGAGCGCAGACTGCCCTCTTCGGAAAACCTGCATTTTTAATTTTCACCAGCTTTCACCTCATCCAGCCCCCCTCACTTGCACTTTTCATTCGCACATTCACAATGCGAACCCATCCTGCTGCACTGCACGGCCCATTCACAATTCCTTTTCTTTGCGGGATTTTTGTAATGTTCGCTTTCTCTCTGCATGGTGTTCCCTCAAGCAGCCTCGCTTGCTATTTCTCTCCCACTCCCACTGTGGACTCGGTGCAGGAGCTGGCGCACCGCTCAGGAGTGGTCGTTGAAGGGAAAGTACAGGAAGAGGGACTGGAGAACGACATTAATCGCGAGGAGAAAGAGCGTTTGCTTCGGGAACGAGCGAGGGCGAAAGGCAACGAAACCCAGGGGCAAGAAATGGAAGAAAACGGCGACGCGACGGAAGAGTTGTTATCCAACAGGACGACAGGCTTGGAGCCGTACCTGCTGAAGGTGAGGGTCCATCAGGTCTGGGCAGTGAAAGCCGGAGGTCTGGAGAAAGATTCCATTATATCCGTCATCTGGAATGTAGGAGAATACTGTCTCACGCTGAAGAAAGACAGCAGGTATATTTTCTTTATGGAGCCTACAAATGACACCTCTGTGTTTAAAGCAGCTTTTCCACCCGTCGAGACCGGACGGAACGTGAAAAAAGATATCAACAAGGTTCTTTGTGGAGGATGGGGTAAGTGCTGAACTGCCTATTAGTTGATCCAACTTTTCCACTATGCGAACGGTAGACACGTGGAGCTCACAGATCAAGTAGTAGAAACAACATCCTTCTGCGTTCGACCTGGAGCGGTGTCTAAAACTTTTAAGAAGTTTTAATCCTTTATGTTCAGCAGTCTCAATAGACGTTGTTTTAATTGATTCAGATTGTCACTTTGAAATCATTAAACCGCCAGAGTGCTGGACTCTAGAATAATATAGAAATGCGTTTGATAGGAGGAGTTGAAAGACTTATTTACACATTTCTTGCTCTGATAACGTGTACAGTCTGTGTGAAGACTGTTCAGGGATTTTATTGCATTGTTTTCGAACAATCCGGCTATCGATCTACAGCTGTGGAAGGATGATTTCAATTAGTTGCCTACTTCTTGATTAAAACAATTAATTACAAAGTAAGTTTGGCTTATACCTTAAAATGCCGTATCCAAATCAATACCACGATAGTGATAGTAATAGTAATCACAATAGTAATCGATTTGTGATTCTGTACTTTTGTGTTAGAAGGCACGATTAGAAAGCTTAGATATGAGTTGTAGTCTGTGACGCATGGCGGTCTATCACAGTTCTGTGGAGGATTTATGATGATGTTGGATAAAGTCGCTGTCGCCTGAAAAACTTGCAGTACTTTTTACTCACATTTTAGTCCTTCATTTTTATTTTTTGTATAAAATTAGTATATTTTTAATAAAGCACTGTACTTAATACCCGTATCTTATCTTGTTTTCTAACCCATGATTAGGGTTCAGCGCAAAATAAATTGTTGTATATACACCTTTAAGCGCAAGCGATTATTATGAGCAGGGTATTTGGAGGTCTGTTTGGAGCCTTCATGCGTATTTCTTGCTCTTTTCGAAACCTCTGAATTCTATTGCTACCATCTCAAATCTCTGACAACTAAAAGCTGAAGCCTTTTTAAGTAGTATAACATGTCTCTTTTTATCATCGAGAGGATTGCGGATAAAAATGTATTTTGCCTACGGTATGTATATGTAATTAATAAAATGTCCAACGTAAAGCATCTGAAAACTGTAAAAGCTAGGGCATTGTATTACCTGAACGCACTGTGTGAACGCTTCACATCCTGTTTGAGCGGTGAGGACTGAGGGAGCTCTCCACTTTCCGTGGTGCTGAAGACTTTGATTGACAGGGGATGCCCGTTTCGGTTGTTGATGGGTGTTTCCTGGGAAAAAGAGAAATCGTTGTTACAGAGTCCGTGTTATTAATTTATAATAGCCTGAAATCCTCATGCGATAGCTTGTAGCTATTAATAGCTAGCGCTACTGTACCAATCTTCCGATACCTTTATTGAGACTGGCTGTGGAAAAGTGTTCAAAAAATCACCGCGGTGAAACAAGACAAAAACACGAATGAATGCGGACATTAAACATGTAGTTAATGTTACGTAACTGGTCATGTGCAGTGCGTCATGTTTTATTTTTATATTGTAAGAGCTTAACATAGTGAAACTACAGAATAACTGAACTATAAATATACTAAATATAGATGTGAAGATTAAGATTAAAACGTTAACATGTTCTTTCGCTATCACAAAAACTTAAAATTATAACTGTTCATAAGGTATTTACAATGTTTTAAAATCCAAAATTGAATGTACAAAGGATATATTTTATTTAAACACTCATTTTAGTTCTGTTTAAATACTAATTCATTAAATCAAACAAGATTAATTCTGCACTTCAATTATAGTCTTATCTATCAAATTAGGTACCATTAGAGTGGATTAATTGTTCTAAAACGTTTCTAAAGGAGAGTTTTGTGATAACAGTATGATTTTGATGGGCGCACAAAAAGATGTGATAAAGCAATTTCAAGAGCAGTTTAACTCGGCATATCTGCAATTCACAGCTGATAGCAGGCTAACCTTCCAATAAACATGCAAATCTGATATCAAACCAAAGACAACTGTAGGTTAAAGAAAAGTCATTTCTTTTATTGTGTGTGGTGTTGCTTTGAGGAGTGTCGTATATTTTCTTTGTAAGGTTTTATGGTCACACCCATATACTGAAGGTGTTATTTTATGTTTGCAATTTTTGTAATAATTGAATGATCTGATTGTAGGTGGGTGTTATTATCTTAAAGTTTTCTGTCTTTCACTGGACACCAAATTCAGATATGTCCTATTCTCATTTGGAGTCAATAAAACAATTCTGAAACAAACTTGTCACATCATAGGATCTCTCTGATTGCTAGAAGCATCTTCCATCTGGTTAGTGGAGAGTTAACAGTGGGCTTGGAATACTGTATGATTTATGTCAGGTATGAGTTTTGACTTAAACAGTGCTGACATCTAACAAATGCATGGATTTCGAAGGAGGGTTTTAATGTAAATAAGTATATTTTCAATATTCACACCTGAAGAAGGCTCCACGGCCGAAAAGCTGTGTTCTCTTTCTTCTTTTTTTCAGCATGGAATAAACCTATTACTTGTTCCTTTGCAGCCTACGCATGCTGACACACCTACCCACCTGAACTATTTTCAATATGATTATTTAAAAAAACATTTGCTATTGGATTATTAGCTAATAGAGTAAATATACGTACTGTATGTATGCACACACTTTCTGAATATATCTTATCACTTGGGCAGTCGATTGAAATAGTGTCTTATTTTTCAGGAGAATGCCAGTGTCACAAGCAACTGCTATGAAGCAGACATTACAGAAAGTAAAATGAGTTTTTATAACATCAGACATGGAGTTATAAAAAACACATTTTTAATAGTATAGAAGTAGGCCACCAAACAAGATAAATGTACTCTCTGCCTTTTTTTCTGAAAGATGGAAGTCTATCAGCTTCTTCTGTGAAGGCTTTAAATATTTATATCAATGTTCCTTCCTGTTTTTTTACATACCAGTAATGGCTCCAGCCCATTCAATTTCCATGACCTTCTTTTGTTTTCCCTACAGAATTACTTGTTAGTGTCTTGAAACCAATGGGGGAACATTTTTGATAAGAGACATACCATACAGTATTTAAATAAAAACACTGAGAGGAACAGGTGAGATTTATCAAGAAACACTAGTTGAGTGAATCTGCTTTCATTAGTTAATTTTTGTTTTTTACAGCAAGGTTTTCGTATCTACAGTATATCAATTCTTTTAATTTTTCTGCAGCTTTTAGTGACAAATTCAGGATTTTTGGACACTTAAACATTACACATTGTAAAGATGGCATATGTATCACAATATATAATATAATGTCTGTACTGCTGGTCTTCCCTGAGGTACCATTCATTATGCCTTCTGAGTTATACAACATTGATAAGTGGAACAAAACATAATTAATTTACGAGCTATTTTACATGTACTGCTTCGAGGCTTTTACAGAACAGTTCATTCCCTATGCAGTGGTCTTGGGAAGTATTTCTAGAAATAAGGGTATAATATTGGTGTAGTATAGAAATTCAATAATGCTTGTAAAATCGTGAAATGGTACCTGTGTTTTTTTTTCTCCTGCGCACTGCGAGGTTCAAATGCATTCCTGCAAATGGATATATACTGTATATGCATTTTGCTTATCACATTTGGCTGCAGTGAGAATGCATGTGTGTAATATAGATGCAGAGTTTTACATTCAGCTAACAGTTTCTATTAGAAGGTTGCTATAGGTGCCAAAGTCTTATTATTTTTCTGATTATCTACTACAGACAGTCTATCAAGTGGATCATCTGTCTTTTAGGCAAAGCTGCTATAAAATCCCATTCTTGTTGAAAAGTGAGAGTACTAATTTGTTTTGTATGAATGATCTTTGTTTGACTGTGTGGGCAATGACACATTTTTTTGACAGATATTGTGAGTCTAATCTGTCTGGTGGAAAGGAGGACCAACCATTGCCCGTGTTTAATGGAAAACAGCTAGAGCACAGCCATGCTGGGTCTAACCTTCCAGACAATTGTACACCGGGACATGCTTAAACGACTCATCTTCTAAATGATGTAAAAGGCAATGACTTTCTATCTCCAGAAAATCCTTCATTACCTGTATGCATGGGAATCATTTGAGAGAGAAAAAAGCACCTGAAAGGAGAGATTTGAGTTCCTTTTTAAGCCATTGTAATGAGAGGTACGTTACAATAAATAATACTGTATAAGGAACAGTGCAAAACAAATGTACCAGACATAAATTCTGTCCTCTTTTTAAATTATCTATGTAAATTCATGTTTGGGAACATTCTCTGTAGAACCGATAATTCGAGTAACCCTTGATCCAACCACATGCTTTCTGCTTCCAGCAATACATAATCTAATAATAATCTAAATATGTGTGTCTTCTTTCCATATTCAAGATAATGAATAATAAAAGAGTATTCTTAACAGCTGCATGATTATTTTATCTTATGAAATAATCCTCTAACCCTGAGAAGCCTTCTATGTCAGAATGTTTGTGCCTCAAGGTATAGAAACATTAACAGGGATATACTTTGTTAGAAAGGAAGTTTAAAAAAATGACAAACATGCATTGATTCATAATTGTTAATTACAGTATTCTTATAACATTTTCTCCTCCTTTTACCAGCACAGACATTTCGATTAAACTGACTTGATTGTAAACAGTCTTCTTTTTCTGATTGACTGATAAGGTCTTACTTAAACAAAAATATTTTTTTTATATCTACTATGAATTTAAGGTCCTCTTTTAAAATGCACTTTTACTTGTGAAGTAATTGTGTTTTGTAGTGCTTCCAAGCCACAATAAACTAATTGTAATGATTGTGGGATCTGACCTGTGAAGAAAACTATTGTAGATTTTGTCCATTCTTTGAACATGGCTAAAATAAATACTGTGACTCCAAATCCTTTTTTTCAAACAATTGCTTCATTGGATATGAGTCATAAATGCTGTAGTAAGGAGCTTTGGAAGGAGTGTTTATGAGCTGAATATGGCTTTTTGTTTGCCTAAGCAAACTTAATGAAATAACCCTTATTGAAATGGACCAATACCGCTCCATAATTCCATGCTGTTCATTGACTTGAATTTAGTGAATTGCACACTTTCGTCTTTATTTGTTGGATGAAGTTACATACTTATGAAAATATATATTCTTATACTTCTTTGCTACTACTGTTCTCCTTTTGGACTCTTAAAAAAAAACATGAAGTGAGGTTAACCCATTGAGTGAGGTCTCACACAAAAGACCTGAATTACTTAAGAGCCAGACGTTGCAGTAGTTATCAAAGGACTAATTATGACCTACTGTATACCTAATATTGTATGTTTTGTAAGCAGGACTGCACCACCACCAGCAGCTGCACCATGTTCTTTTACAGCTGTGAAAAATCCTCCACACCCCTTCGTCTTGAACTGCTGTTGGGGTCCCTCTCCCACACGATCCACTCCACACTTGTAAACAAAGTTCAGGATACGTCCTGGATTTAAATGGAATTTATAACTAAAGCTCAGGAAGGGTGACAACAGCCAGGTTCAGTCAAGCTCAGCAGTCAGTAATTTGTAATCATTCCTGCCGTCACTTCATCACACAAACAAAACTCTAAATACAGTAATACAGTATGTGTGATCCCCTCCTCTCCCTTGCACCCATATTTTGGATCCCACCTCCACCCCATCTCCATCTTTGCTGCTGCTGTTCACTCCGCATGCGGGTCTCAGCCTCCTTGTCCTATGGCCAGGAGGTTAGCCCTCAGCCGAGCGGGTTGAAGCAAATTTACTGTGGGTAAAACACTAAATAAACCTTTCAATACTCCCAAGGTTTGGGTGTTGTTATTCCTAGAGAATGCAGTTTTAAATAATATTTTAGGGGATTTTCTCCACTTCCTCCTAAATACAGTATGTATAAATGTCACATCAATATCACATTTCTACCAGTTGCCTGTGTGTTCACTTTGCATTCCTCCCTTCACTTCTTTGCTCTTGTTCATACTCTCAGGGTGATGCCTAATAAAAAAGGGGGGTTCCAAATGTCTCAATGTTCCAAAAGTGAGATGAGTGAGAGAATGGGGACTCCCCAGGATACGGGCTGCACTACGACACTGACCATATAAAACATTTTATAAATACAAATGCAAATCACCTTATCAAATGGCTTCCATTCAGCACTCATCTTGTTTTCAGCTAGTATAATCAGGAATCAGGAATTAAATAATACAGTTCTCTAAATTTCACATGATTCCCCTCTGATGACCAGGAGTCCTGTCATCTTGCTTTGCACCTGGTGCTCGCAGGGATAGGTTCCAGGTCCCCTGCAACCCTGAATTGAGGGAAACAGTTAGAAAAAGGATGCATGGATGGACATCTCACATGAATGTGTTTTGCTTTAAGAGGCCATAATTCTATCTAATAAATATATATTTTTTTAGTTTTAGCATTTACAATAATCTGTCAAACCCCTGCTTTCT